CGTGAGGCAGAAGCGAGTCAAGTCATATATCCATAGTGTCGAGGATAACGGGTCATCCGTGACCCAGGAGTCCCAGATACGAGAGTCGCCTAGGGCTTACTTCCATTCTCTCTTTTCCTCTGAGCGGGATTTGCTTACGCACCCCGACCCGGCCCTCTTTCCGACCATCCCGCAGTCGGTCGATCTTGTTGACCTCTGCGACCTCCCGAGTAAGGAGGAAGTCAGGGAGGCGGTGTTTGGGATAGATCCCAACAGCGTCTCTGGACCGGATGGTTTTTCGTCCCTCTTCTTCCAGTCTTGCTGGGAGATTATGGGCATTGACGTAGAGGAAACTGTGAGGGATTTTTTCTCTGGCCACCAGATGCCAGAGTCCTTCACGGCAACCTCCATCATTTTGATCCCGAAAATATCGGGACCTAGTTCTTGGACTGACTATAGACCGATTAGCTTATGCAACGTGACTAACAAGATCATCTCTAGAATCCTCAACAATCGCCTCGCCCCTCCCCTCCCCCACCTTGTCTCTCCGAACCAGAGTGGATTCATTAAGGATCGAGTTATTAGTGATAATATCCTTCTGGCTCAGGAGATGATACACGATATCTCTCATGCGAATCGAAAACGAACCCTGAACCTTGTGCTGAAGCTAGACATGGCCAAAGCATATGATAGGGTCGAGTGGTCGTTTCTCAGAGAGGTTCTGTTTCGGATGGGAATCCCTATTCGTTGGATTAGCTTTGTGGAGGCGTGTGTGGAGTATTGCACTTTCTCCGTTTTGATTAATGGTAGTCCCACGACCTTTTTCCCTTCTACCCGCGGCCTTCGTCAAGGGGACCCCTTATCCCCCTCCCTGTTTGTTCTTGTGGCTGACTATCTCTCTCGCTGCCTTGACGGCTTCATTCGCGATTTCCCGAGGATGACTTACAGCACGCGTGGCTGTGGGCCTCCCATTTCCCACCTTTCTTACGCAGATGACATTATCATTTTCACCCGTGCAAATGATGATGGACTAGTTGCTCTCATGAGTCTCTTGGACCACTGCAGTGAGACATCTGGCCAGCTAGTCAATGTTAGTAAGAGTTTCTTTATCTTGGATCACCACGTTGCAGACCATTGGGCCCACCAGATTCACGAGCGCACTGGATTTGCTCGTGGGGATCTACCCATCCCTTATCTTGGGGTCCCCTTGTACAAAGGCCATCTTTCCCATGAGCTTTTCATTGACGTCCGTCAGAGGATGATTGACCGGATATCTGGCTGGTCACATAGACACCTATCCTTTGGTGGCCGTCTTGCTCTGATCAAGAGCACTCTTTGT